ATAGGTTCGCTTTACCGCAATACACGTTGAAAACCACTTGAAAAAGTTAAGGACTTTATCACCCATGATAAGGCCCAACTTTTCTCCAACGTCACACATTGCAGTGTCTTGAGTCACTGTATATGCTACCTTTAGGTAGCAGTGTAACGCATTTTTTTTTTCCATCGCCGCTAGCAACCATGCACTACGTAGAAGCCGGTGCACGGGCCCCACCACCGAAAATGGTTGCCATCCACCTGTAATCAAGCACCGCGCCGTTCGCTGTGTAGCATGATTTCTGAAAATCGGCACGATTGCTGAAAATCACAGTAGAGTAAACAATGCTGTAAGCTTAGTGCGATGCTTTTTGAACCTCGATCAGGGGACCTATATTTTGTGCTTGTGTGTTGTTGCTTATCTTCCATAGCTGGCGCCATTTGGCCATGCGGCTAGCGGAGGTGCATGCCATTCGGCACTTCGCTACGCCTTCGCGCTTTGTGTTACCAGACAGACTAAATATGTCTTTGAACTCCCATGGCACAGCCCCGAAAGCAGGTGTTTCATTTTTCTTCGCCGGCATTTGACACTCCAGGCACGTCGACTAACAATTGGCGACATGCTTTGTCTATCAGCGACATGCTTAAGCAAGCCGCCTGCAAAAACAGAGCGCGACTTCGCCACGTAGGGAGCATTAAATAAATATACAGTCACTCTATCATTGCTAACCAGGCAAGATGGCGGTCCTCTGCGCTACTCCGCTCCTGTAGGGAACATATGCAGTTACTCTAGCAGCGTCGGTCACTCTGTGCCCTCTTCCGAGCTAAATGTTCCCTTGATAAGTTGGCTTCACCACAATACATGTCGAAGACCACTCGAAAAAGTTGAAGGCTTCATCACCCATGATAAGGCCCAACTTTTGTCTGACGTCACACATGGCAGCGAAGGTCATTCTGTGCCGTCTTCTGAGCTAAATACACCCCTGATTGGTTGGCTTCACCGCAATACACGCTGAAAAACACTTGAAAAAGTTGAGGCTCTTATCACTTATGATAACGTTTAGCTTTTGTCTGACGTCACACCTTGCAGTGATATACCTAAGTGGCTTCCGTGCTAAAGTTTCCACTGAAATGTTCGCTTCACCGTAAAACATGCCAAAAAAGCAGTCGAAAACGTTGAGGCCCTTATCACCCATGATAAAGCTCCACTTTTGTCTGACGCCACACCTTGCAGTGACCGATTTAAATAAGTGGCTTGATTCCCTGCTAAAGGTTCCCCTGATGCGTTGGCTTCACCATAACAGGCAGTCGAAAACCAGTTGAAAAAGTTTAGGCTCTTATCATCTACGATAAGGCTTCAAATTTTTGTCTGACGTCACACATGGCAGCGACGATCACTCTGTGCCCTCTTCGGAGCTAAGTATACCCCTGATAAGTTGGCTTCACCGCAATACACGTTGAAAACCACTCGAAAAAGTTGAGGGCTTTATCGATGATAAGGCTCAACTTTTGTCTGACGTCACACATTGCAGCGTCTAGAGCAACTGTAAATGCTACCTTTACGTAGCAGTGCATTTGTTTTCCATCGCCGCTAGCATCCATGCACTGCAGTAAGCTGGTGTACAAGGCCGCACCACCAAAATGGTTGCCGTCCACCTGGAATTGATCAGAGGACTGTCGTGTGCTGTGTAGCTCGTCAGCTACTTACTGGCGATTTCGTTTGCTTCAGATTCATGTCTTTAAGCTTCGACAGCTTCGACTTGCGTGGGTTCGGCACGATTTTTGAAAATCACACTGAAATAAACAATATTGTAGGCTTAGTGGGGCGCTCTTTGAATCTTGGAGGTAAAGATAAAGAATAGATATATAATCTTACCTGTAACCTCCTCATTTGTTATCTAAGAAAACTGCCCACCCGCTAAAATTAAGAGAAAGTTTTTTCCGAACAAACATTTACCAACACTCATTTTTTCCACTCACTATCTCCCACTGGAATCGGCTTCCACAGGAGATCGCAGACTGCCGCACTGAAGCATCTTTCAGGCACATCCTGCTACAATGATAGCTAAATTTTTATTATATGTTTTTGTGTTCATTCTGTCAAATTTGAATAGTTATTTTTTATTAAGCATGTGATACGTTGTGTATTTCTCCTTGCAATAGCGCCCTTGGGAGCTGCAGGTATTTTTTAATAAACAAATAAGTAAATACACTTTATTTTGTATTTGTGAGTTGATGCTTATCTTCCATAGCTGGTGCCCACTTGACCATGCGCAAGCACCGGTACATGCTATTCGGCACTACGCTACGTCTTTGCGCTACCTATCAGACTAAAAAAAATACTTTGGAACTCCCGTGGCACAGTCCCGAAAGCAGCTGTTTCTTCTTTCTTGGCCGCTCGTTGACACGACAGGCACATCGACTGGAGATCGGTGACAAGCTTCGTCGATTGGCGACAGGCTTATACAAGTCGCCTGCAAAAACACGGCATATCTTTGCGGCGCAGCTAACCAGGCAAGATGGCGGACTTGTGCGCTGCTCTGCTCCCGTAGTAGCAACCGTACCTGCAGTATGGTGACCATACCCGTAGGGAGCATATACAGTACTCTACGACACTTTAGCTAAGGTCGCCACCTGGCGATGTGTAAGGCGTCAACGAAATTGCGCTTGTCTTGTTGGAAATGCGCCAAATGGGAAAGACGCATAGAAATGACTCGTTGAGGGAGCTAATTGGGGTTCCACGGTCATGATGTGTTCACTTTACAAAAAGCACTAGCTGCGAGAGGACAGTGTCAGATATAAAAGGCGTGTTTGTCAATGTGACCATGGTGCAGTCATTGCAATATTAGAATGGGATGACACTTTCAAAATCGAAAAATACAAGATGCAACGTCTACAGGCCTGCCTTTCTGGGAAAAAAATGCATCCACAATGAACTTTGTTAAAAGATCATATTTTCAAAGGTAAAACAAGTCAGGATTTCCAAAAGCCATACGCCTGCCTTTTTGGTGAGGAATACAGTGAGAATAAATTGGGTCACTTTTAAAAATCGAGAAACACGTTTCCAAGCGGTAGAGGCTTACCCTTTAGGTCAAATAGCACACTCTTATCAAAATCAGATGAAGCTTCAAAAATAAAAGAGACTTTCACTGGCCAGAGACTCACTCTTGTGGTCAGTACTTCACCTAAATCAATTTGGTTAAAATGCGATGACACTAAGAAATTGAATAATGTACGCTTTCCCAAGGTTTACTTTTTTTTGTCAAAAATGCAATAAGTGTTGTTAGAAAGGTAACGAATTGCATAAAGCTAGAGGTAGAAAAGAAGTGACAGCAATTACAGCAGTGGTTTACCTTGATTCTATTTTTCAGTGCAACAGTACAAAACATGCATCATGTAGAGTTATTTGGTACCTACTTTTGATTACAACCTTTACAGTTGGTTTAAAAAAAATGATATAAATACGGGCGTGTGCCAGCATTGCCAACCAATTTTTGGAAAAAACCCATTTTCACAGTCAAAATTAACCCTACTTTACTAAATCAATTTTTTGTACTAAGCTACATTTTACCCTACACCTAAAAATAACATAATGTACCAATAAGAAGGTACAGAATATACTTCCTTGTACCAAATGCAGTCAAATAGTGGTGCTGAGGTCAGCACTTCGAAAATTGGTCTGAAAAAAATTTGGAAGCGAGCAAAGGTAAATGTAAAAAAGAAGATTGAAAGAGAGCCTTCCATTATAGGTATGTATGGGAAGAGGGTTAACTCACGGATGAGAAAAAAATAACTAGGACACTCATTAGCAAGTATACGGTTGGCAACGTAAGCGACGTGGTGACAAACAACTTCAAGTGAAACATCAGAGAAAAGGAAAAAATGTATTGAATAGCAGAGATGGAAACAAAGCTAACTCTTGGTAACCATCGAAAGGGTAAAGAACAATAAGCAAGGGTACACTTCACAATAATTCAAGGTGGTGTGCTTAGCTGTTTGAAACAAACTCTAGAACTTCAGGGACAACGTTGTAGATGTGAACATGTCGATGATGGAACTAAGTGACAGGAGACTGGTGGTGTAATAAAGTAGGCAGATAGCAAAAAAAAAAAAAAGCAAATCAATTAACGTTGATTTGCGCCAAGGTTCAGAATGTCGGACTGCGAAGTTTTAACATTTTTTTATAGGGTGGAAAGGACAAGATTATGCCACAAGGTAATAATAATATATAATAATAACGATAATAAAATCTTGAGTTTGGTGAGGTGCAAGTCAGTGCCCCATCATAAAGGAAATGCCCTTTCATCAGTCCATACACTGTCATTGAAAAAACTTGCATAATCCCTTGCGCACTGATCTATCACTCACTAGTAAAATCTACCTCCTTTTTCATCTCCGTAGATTGTATTGATTGCCTCACCCTGAAAACATTGATGTATTATCTTTTGCATGTGCCCTTTGCTGATGACATGTGAATTAAGAGAGTTGCAGTTTTCTTCAAAGAAATATTTTAATTTTGACTGCATAAGGAATGTCACCGTCAAGGAAGTCGCGTCGATTGTCGCTATCTTTTGCCAACCGATAACAAAAAAAGATTGAAAATTGCCTTACGCCAATAAAGAGAATGTGTTACCACCCTACAACCTCACGCTGCCCGAATAATATTGAAAATATCCTAAATGTTCAGTACTTATCCTACCGCTGGCAACCCTGGCATGTTCACAAGGACAGTAGGGCAGGCAATTTAAGCAAGGCCTATGACGGTGTTGTACCGATGATTAAAACTATAGGAACAATTGAAAAGCAGCCTCACTAGAGGGTAAAGAAAAAGAGTTCATGACGTCTACCACGAAGAAGAGGTATGACTGAAGAGGGGAGTGAAAAAAGGAAAACAATTTTTCTGGCAAGGCACGGGCAGAACTCGAAGTTCATGTGGCCCAAATTGTCAGAACAGCTAGGCTATATTCAGTTTTTCAAGAATACTTTTCACTAACCAGTCACTTCTTCTAAATACCACTAAACACCTCTCAGTAAAAATTTTTTATTAAAAGCAGCACTGCAGTTCATAAGGCACGATGTGTATACATACAAAAGTGACAAAATAACATCAACTTCCTTCAAATGTCACTGTTCCACAGAGCACAGTCCACACAAACATGCACAGAAAGCAAACATGCACTGTGAGGTGACAGATTGACTGGCTGCTACATAAAAATGGCGATATGCTTAGTATTTGAATCACAGCCACATAACCAACAAATATGGAGAGACTGAAGTTCTTACAAGATAAGAACGAAATTGTGATATCATGGAAGTGTCCCACTTGTAAAAAGAAATTGCACTTATTAAATACTAGTGCCACCAACCATTCCATGCGTTAGTGGCACGCCACACTGTTGGGAAAATAGGTGTTCTTGATCACGACTATTGCAAGTGTGGCCATAAATGTATTGTCTAAAAAAAAACTAAAGGTAAGGAAATCCATAAGAAACTTGGCACGTCACTGTATCTAACATGGGGGGGGCTATAGTATTACTACTTCTAGCTTGAATAGATCTCTTTGGCAATAAGAAATTTAAGTAGTCAATGCCTTAAGGCTACAAGCAGGACAGCTTCCTTCTGTTGTGAAATACATTGGAACCCCTATTATACGACTTTCAGAGGACCACACAAAACCGTCGTATAATTCGGGCATCGTATAATTGAAAACTAAGATTATGGGCAGTGACACTCAGCCTTGCCCTAAAAACTGGCACAGATTACTTGAATAAGCCCGCAGCATGACCTTGTGCCTCCGCAAGGAAGGTAGAATAAATTATTCTTGCCAGTAGCAGCTAATGGCAGCGTTACTTAGTTGAAGGAGGTTCGAGCAAATCTTTATTCTCCACCTTAAAAAAAAATATCGACCCCAACATGCATCTTTCTACCGATAAACAGGGTCCCGAAATTGGCCGTGCGTGAAAACGAAAAAAAAAAAAAAACGCATTGCCAACAACCTCTCGTTGGAAGAGTCAGAGATAGCGTCATTGCTATCACATAATGGCGACGGACCACGAGCTTGTGTAGAATACCTTGGTGCACGACTGAGCTATAAGCGTTGTAACTTGCTCCCTTGTGAAGTGCAACTAGTGGTGTCCCGCCGTTATTATAAACATTGACGTCAAGTCAAAGTAATTTTGAACGGTCAAAACAGCTGTATCGCGCCCTTTTGTGTGCGCAAGCCTGTGACTGCGAGTGCGACAAAGGCAGGAGATCAGCTGTATGTCGTCCATAGAAACCTTCCATGGACTACAAACGTGAAATTATCAGCTTTCTGGCTGGCTGAAGCTACTCTGTATGGATAGAGCTTGACTTAGTAACGACGCCGGATATGTACGCCTTGCAATTGAGGCATATGCAGAAGCACATGAACTGCTAGAAAAATAAATTTTGCATTCGAAGACATCCTGTCTCACACTCTACTTTTCCAAATGTCAACCTAGCAGAACGCAAGTTCATATTTTGCACTTGTAAATATTTGTGCGGTGTTAGATTTGAGTAAATAAGTTTGTTTTTGTTTTTTTCAGACAAATCTGAAATTCCTCGTAACATGCGGGGTCGGCATAAACTGCATCTATAACCAAGGTTTTTAATACGTTATTTCTATGAAGATTTGGCCAGGACCAAACTGATTCGTCGCAAAATGTGGGTTGTCGTAAACCGGGGGACGTATAATCGAAGTTCCATTGTATACGAGACATGGTAAGCGCCCCAAACCTCAGCAGTTCACACAAAAAAGGTTATAAAAATTTGCTTAATGATTCATTAGGATAACTGTGAAAAGCATGAGAAAATATTGAGAAATTTGATCCACAGCAGCCTGCCAGCAAGCCACACATAAAAATTGTTTGAGGAGGAACATTTCTGATAAAAAGACACACAAGCCATCGATGAAAATGCTTTGCAATGTCTTCACAGACATCATGATATTTACGGAACTCATTCCGTACATATTTATGTAAAAAAACTAAGATATTTTGGACTAAATGAGCACAATCTTATAAAAACTATATGTCCGTATTTCATAATAGCATTAACGCCATCAGTAGAGTCTATCAAAAAGCCTGTTCTTCCAAAAGCACAGAGTGCACAGATGCCCAAGAACAATGCATTATGCACTGAAATCCGCGAACCTGAAGTTGCTCGACAACTAATAATTTTAATTTAATGAGCGAATACAGCATTGGGATGTTGTACAAAAATAAAAAATTACTTGCACTGCAAATGTTTGGGAAGGAAGAAAACAAAACATTACAGAACTTAGAACTCCATTACAAGAGTACACAACAAATGAGCACATGAATATCAAAGAACTGTCTCGTGAGATAACTCGATTCTGAACACTTTGACCACATATGAGAAAATGTCATGTAATCCAGTGAATCTCAAGTCGAATAATACTTGGTATTTTTTATATGTTTAAAAAACACGAGCAAGATTACCACACATAAGCAACACGATTTCTAAATAAGAGGAAATACTCAATAAAAAATGTTTGAGGCTGTATTAACACCATAGTGAGACCAGTAAATGGAAAAGCATTGTTATAGCCTTTTCAAGGCAGTGTAAAACAGATGAAATGAATGATTTTAGAACAATAAAGAAAAAAAGGGGTGGCATGAAACAATCATTAGTTAGCAAATGTTCATTAGGTGGCTTTAGATTATGTTGCACGGACGAAGACAATCTATATCATGGCTTTACAACAATGTTCAATATACTAAATAGTGTCCCACTTCATGGATCCAAAAATAAGCACTTTGCGATTTCTACAAAGTAAGGAAGAAATGTGTTTGGGTATGCCTTTAGAAAGTATAACTGAAGACACATGACCACTACACACATGAAACGTGATCACAGGTCTGTACATAATGGTAACTATTCAAGATGATGCTATCTCTCACTACAGCAAATATAAATGGTAACTTCGGAAAGCACACAGTATAAAGCAGATGATAAATAAATTGTATGCATGAAAGTATGTATATATAAAAAAAGAAGGGGAAATGCACCACACACAAGCAAACATGAATCGGACATTACGTAACCCATAACAGTGCAATAAATCTAAAAAATAAAGCGAGAGCAATGTCTTCCACCATCAAGTACTCATGCTGCAAGATGCAAGTGCCACAAATGAAGCCATATGACCACAAGCGAAAAAATTTATATATATACTTTTGGCATCTCCTCAAAGTTAAAAAATGATTTTGCCAATACTACTAAATTACCTTGGTGTTAACAACACCGCTCACAATGCGAGGACACACTTGGAAGTTAGAAAGGCATGAAAACGAAGTCTGGGTGGCAACATTGCTTTGAACATCTCACACAAGCATGGCGTGCCAGTGAGAAAGCAAAATTGCTTACGAACGAATGTAAGGGACAATATCTTTGCATCGATCGAATGCCCCTTCCGGCCTTGCATAGCAAGCCCACAAAACTTTTTCCATGTACAGCAAATGGGGCAGAAGCTTTTAGATGTTCCAACCTTAGACAAACAACCTTGAATGAAATATGAATGCAGTTTCTTCTCCCCGTACAAAGGTATGCACTCATTAATGAGTCATATTGGCTAAACCAGGACTCAAACACGCGGCTTGTGGCTTCACAACGAATAAATGTTTGCAACTCTGATAAATTGTACCCTCGTTATTTATTTGCGTATTGCGATTAATAATGCTTTGTTTGGGTAAGAACGGATCCGGTTCAAGCATAATTTTTCACGAGGCACCCCGTGTGATCACAATGTGTAGAAACATGACCACGGAACAAAATTTATATATTTCACAGCCGACGCTCAGATCTGAATTACTCTGGAGATCAGTATCGCTACGATTCTCGGATCTTGATGCCAAAAGGCCTTCAGAAATTATCCAAAGGCATTCTTTCAAATGGCAGTTAAAACGATCTTTCGTTCCACCCCCTCTTCCCCTTGCTTCAACCTCCTCACTGTTCCAGACTTTGTGCGACTAAATTTTGTGACTGCGGCCTGCTAGCTGAATTAAGCTTCAGACCCCTGGGCTAAACTGTACTAGACCAACATAGCGTTGATTTAATTGATTGATTTGTGGGGTTTAACAGTCCCAAAACCACCATTTGATTATGAGAGACGCCGTAGTGGAGGGCTCTGGAAATTTTGACCACCTGGGATTCTTTAACGTGCACCCAAATCTGAGTACACGGGCCTATAACGTTTCCGCCTCCATCCGAAATGCGGCCGCCACAGCCGGGATTTGATCCCGCGACCTGCGGGTCAGCAGCCGAGTACCTTAACCACTAGACCACCGTGGCGGGGCGAAACCAACATAACGTGGCTGGTGTGGAAAGTGTCATGGAAATTGGCCCAAGCAAAGGTCTTAACACATGGGATGCCTCAGTGAGCAGAATGTAATTAAATTAAAAAATAGCCATGGAGATGAAAGTCAGCTACAGCCATGAAGGATGCTATGCCCTCCTGTGTCAGTAACTCGCTTAATAACGAAACAACATACATGAAATTGGCCGTGACGGACAAGCTAACCCCATCTGCCGTTCCTACCAATGAGAACATGTTCTTTCATAGTCTAGCGATTAAAAATTAAAAAAAAAACTGACTGAAAATGAAAGGGAAAACTAAAATGTGGAGGAACTTGAGGGATGGTGATGTACTTGAGCAAATATTTGGAGGTTGAAAAGAGAGTACATCTACAATTCTGAAAAAATAATTGTTGCAAACGTTATGCCCTGGGCAAAGGTGAGAATCGAGATTCCATTGCCAGTGAAAAATTTTGGTGGTGTTAAAAAAACCACTCAGTCAAATTTCATTTGTGTTTAGCCACAATTCATCAGCTGCACTTTGTACTGACAGGTAAAGAGGCCACTGGTGCTACATTATGGCAGTTTTGCTTGATTGGACGTCGCCCAAGTACACAGCATGACACCCAAGTATATTGCAGCTCTCCAAAATGGCAATGAGCTAAAAGAAAGGGTTAATAAGCAGCCAGCAATAGAACGAAGAAGCGTACAACTTGCGTAACATCCTTACTAAGTTTCAGATTCAAGAACTACATGTGGCAGCACTTCTAGCTGGTAGGTGCTTAGAGCACATTATTGCGTCTTCCGACTGTCAGTTACGACACACTTTAATTTACCCTGTACCACATACCACAACAAAACTGAGGAATGCTAATTGCTTAACTTATCAATGGCAACATGTGCCCAGTGCATGTCGTAAGTCGTAAGCTAGTGCGTCGTCATGTGACTTGACTTACAAATCAGGGAATCATACTGAAATACCTCTGCAGGTACTGCCGACCGCTTACTCACCCGCCATTCAGACATCATGCAGCCTTCAAGGAATTTTTGTGAAAATAGGTAACATTGCTGCACGTGTGACTACAGGCAACTCCTGCCTGTTCAGTCATCCTTCCACTCGCCTTAAAGCGAGACAAATTTTAGCCTCTCTCGTAAGCTCCGCCTCCTTCAGTATCAAAAAATTTCAGAAGTTGTAAAGCAATAAAAATTAAAAATCCCCCAACAAAAGACAGTACAACTGCCAGTAAAAAACTTCCCATCTTATTTGTTTTATGCATTTGAATGCAAGGCTCTGGGAAATTGATAGGCACCGCAAGAAATTTTAATAGCAAAAGCATCAAACAAGAGATCAACTTTTAGGCTATTCTTTGTGGCACAACTGGTATACCAAGAGTCATGCGTCACCTCTGTTCATATGGCACACTTAGTCTAGACAACTGTGTGCTGGCAAATAGAAAAGTGATTGAGCAACTGGACAGAAAATCTCGCAGTAGGTACATCGCAGCAAAATGGCTGCATTAGTGTAGAGGCAGAGCAGGACGTAAGCGAACAGCGGCAAAGTGCGCGATGCCCAAGGGCACCCCCGACTAGTTACTCATGGCATGATTTGGTGCTGCTGAGCCACGTCTCAACTAACCTACAACTGAATCCGCTGTCCTTGTCCTTACTTTAATTCATTTTATCCAGCCAAACCGTATAAGATGCTCAACAGTGCTGTCCTGATTGATTAAAAATATGGCAATGTCAGCCAAGCAATTCAAAGCTATGGCCTCAGAACAGTGAAGATGGCAAGACGCTCTTTGATCTTCAGTCAAGAAAGCCATCTGCCACATCTTCTTTAAAATCAAGTCACTGTTCAACACTGACTCTTATCACACGTAATCACCATGCAGAAGAGCCACATGCTCAAGGCACGCTTTCCACACTTTCAAGGAATTAAAATGGGTGAATTCACAAGCAGACTGCTGGTGCTGGCCTCGCTGATCTGCTGGCTACTGCTTGACCAGAAGCACAGCAGGAGAATTTCACCTCAGGAACATTCACGACTGCTTTTGTTGCCGAGTTAAAAGGTGAAACTGGACACAGGCACTTGATGCAGACAAACGCGTAGAGTAGTAGCGCTTGTGTGCACACAGCACTTTCACCTACTTTAACAATTCAACTATAGAAAAAATAAAGCAGCAACAAAAACAAAAACCATGCAAAAATACACTAGTCATCTCTCAGTTTCTTGAGCAGCAACCAATTTGTTGAGTATGTATAAGATACCCGAGTCATCGACAGTGACGAAAGTTTTGAAGTCTGGTGAGGTAAACAGGGCCACAGCCTTGGAGCTCTGCAGCTGGAATCTCTGCAACTGACGACGACAGGAGGTCTGAGACAGTGACTCTAATGACGCCACGCTTCCATCGTCCATTGAACTCAGCGCAGATGCAAACTCCAGGGAGTCCAGGGACCACCAGCAGATGGACTCCGAAAGCGACGCAAGCTGTCGGCCATCAGGAGAAAAGGCCAGGTCATAGACCCAAAGCTTGTGCTCGCCGACTTTCTGGAGCAAGTCCTCTTCCAAGAGGTACACCTTCGAAAGCGCATTTGACCATGTTAACTTGCTACCGTGAGGGTGACCAAACAATTTCCTAGGCATATACAGTTAAAGGGGTACTGACATAAAATTTTCAGTTCTTCGTCAAATGAAGGGCCAAGCGCTCATGAGCTTAGAAAATGTATTGGTAAGCATGAGTGCCCCATGCAAAAGTAATCACAGTATGTTCTTAAAACTAGTTTGAATTCTTACTGTAACCTGACGTTGCACCCCGGTATAAGCTTCTCGTCATGTTTTGAGCAAAATATTGAGATGTTTCCACGGCCACTTCATTCCTGGCTCTCTAGTGGATGCACAAGCTGCCATTTTGAATATTTCTGGTGGTGCACAAGCAGACATTTTGAATGTTTTTGTTGCCTGATATCATCACAACTAGCCATACTGGTGCATGGAGTCACCCGAGTTGACACTGCAGTGAGAATGGACATTAATGTCAAAATAAAATACCTTAGCATTTACTGAGCACAGAGTTATCTGAATTTAAGAGGTTTGTATGATTTACTAAAATCGCCTTCGAAACTTCACGTCATTACCCCTTTAATTAGACATCAAAATAACAAACTTACACTATTGAAATTCTCAACATAATAAAATATTTACCTCTTTAAAGTTTTAAGTCCATCAAACAAGCATTTTAAACCTAAATATCACAATGCCCATATGATTACCGCTAGTTTCAATGTAATTAAGTTTCATCGCTATGCTACAAAAACAAACCAAGACATGCTTATTGAGAATCTCGCTGTTGCTATGGCCAAATGATTAAATTGCATGTGGTTTGTGCAAAACCATTTTTCAAGGCACATGCCATGCGACAAAAAGTGCATTCTGAAGGCCAGTTTTTCTGTTTTGATGTTGTGATGCTGTATATACACAAATATGGCATTAGTACGTATACAATCTCTTCACACCATTGGCATATCAACGCCACAGCAATGCTACAACAGAAAACACATCAACATGAAAGCTACATTTCAGCAAGGTGCCAGTGCAGATTAGTTTAAAGCTATGACTCCTCTCTCTTTCTCTCGCAACCAATATGTAAAGCAGAGACAATAAAAACGAGTACTTACATAAACAGATCCCTCGTCGGTGCCAGCTGCTACAGTGACACTTTCGGGATCTGGGCTGAACCGGCAGCAGCGAACACAAGCGTCAAGAATCTTCTCATGCAGCAGCTCGCCCGTTTCAGCGTTCCACAACTGTTGGATAGAAACAAAACCTTCCGTGAAAATTCAAAAGAGAGAGAGAGAGGAAATGCAGGAAAGGTAGGGAGGTTAACTAAACTATGCGTCCAATTTGCTACCCTACACATGGAGAGGGGAGTAAAAAGAAAAAAAAAGAGAGAAGGATAGACACATGTCACATCACACTCACAATGCCGAGTTTCACAGGCGGTCTCTCAATGAAGTTGCTGTCAAGTATCTCAGGAGGGCTCGCGCGGCTTTATGTGCTGATGTGCTGCGCGACCAGGCTTCTAAAATCTTTGCCTCATTAAATGGCCGGTCATCGAGTCTATTCAAGGCACACTGGAGAGTCCGGTGATCTTCATCAAATTGGACACAGTGGCACAAGACATGTTCAATAGTCTCTATACAGTTGCAGCTTTCACACATGGATGAATCTGCCATGCCAATGCGATGACTGAATGACATAGTAAACGCTACCCCAGTCCACAGCCGGCACAGCATTGTGGCGTCACGTCGAGAAATCATGGATGGCAGTCGTTTCTGGAGTAATGACTTAAGGTTCTTAGGGCGATGACTGGAGTTAAGTGGAGAATTCAGTGCGCAAGTGTGGCATCATGCACAATGTGACGAAGTTCTCTAGCTGCGTCTACTCTTGACAGGGGTATTAACAGTGTGGGCGCTCTATCGTGGTCACATCGGGCAGCGTCGTCAACGAGGTGGTTACAATTTTCAGTTGTAAAGAAGAAGTAAATGTAACTCACTCTAAAGAGGGTAAAACCTTGATCAGGCAGGCAAGTTGAGTGCACTTGCAAGGAGTAAGCTTTGGAATCTCGAGAGACACCAGCAAAGAAAAAATGGTGATGACTGAAAGTGCCTTTTTCCAAGATGGAGATGGGGGAAGAAAGATATCACTGTTTTGGGTTTACTTAAAAATCAAAAACGAAGTTAAGCTATTTCTTCTTATTTACATCATATTTAGTTACTGAAAAATGCAGCTGTCTCTTCATAAAAACCTTAGAGTAAATATTGGCGTGAAGCGAGAAAATCGAGCACACTTGTAGCAAAGAAAAAATGGTGGTAACTGCGAGTGCACTTTTCAAAAAAGAAGATGGAAAAAAGAAGGAGATACAGCAGTACTACCTCGTTAACTCGAACTCTCATATCCCGAAAAATTGTCTAAGTGGAAATTTTCTGCAACACTGAACATTTTCCTACACATACCATGTATATTTTTCCCTTTATCACGAATAATTTTTCGGTTGGATTGCAAATAACTTGAAATCCTCAGTGGGAGTGGAATTGAAATTCCGCCCCCGACTGTTTCACAAGGTTTGCGTGATGCTGCCACGCCCGAAAATCTTTTTTTTTTTATGGCATGTTTGCCACTACGTCGATGCTTTCCGCTAACGTGGAGAGCACGAAGTCTCAGCCCAGTGACATAAACTTTGTCAAGCGTCCCTCTGGCACGTCATGTGACACATGCACTGAGCAGGGAGGTCCTCTGTCCACACTTGGTGTAGTTTGTCTCATTCACTTTGTGCAGTGCGCACGATTTTCCCCTAAGTGTGATTTCCGTTCATCTGCGCAAACCACGTGGTATGGATTTTTCGCTGACTGTGAGTGCAGTGCTCGTAAATTTCCCCGAGGTGCGATTTCCGTTCATCTGTGCAAATGGAGCGGTATGGATTTTTCGCTGATTGTAAGGAGCGACAAATTAGTGTGAGTGCAGCAAGCATGACGTCAAAATCAGTGCAAGTCGCTAACACACAAAAAAAAATGTTGCCCTAATTAAGGAAGTAGAGAAAAGAGGCCGAACAAATTTGGCATCCCTTTGTCTACGCTTTGGATGGTACTGAAAAACAAGCAGAAGGTGCTGGACAAATTTCAGCAGAGCTTCTCCAGCCAGCGGAAGCGAGTTCAAGGGTCGACGTTCTCAGACGTTGAAGTGGCATTGATGGTATGGCTGCGAAATGCCAGAGCGGCCAAACTTCCCCGTCCCACAGCAAAAGCAGACACTCTGACCTTGCAAATAGAGCACATGGACTTCAGTTGCAGCAGTAACTGGTTTGCCCACTTCAAAAACAGAAACAGAGTGATTTTCCAGTCAGAGCACGGCGAGAGATGCACTGTCGACGCAGCTACTGCAGACAATTGGCGCGGCAGTCAGCTTGTCGAGTTGCGGGAGAGTTACGCCGACAGTGACATTTTCAACCTTTATGAGGCAGCACTTTTTTATAAAATGCTGCCAAGTCAAACCTTCACATCGAAGAGTGGAGCATGCTCGGGAGTGAAACAACAGAAAGACAGGGTCACTGTCCTTTTCGGGGTGATTGCTACAGATGAAGAGAAGCTGCCATTAATCATAATTGGCAAAGCTATAAAGCCTGGGTGCTTTAGAAATGCATAACTGCCAAATGACATTACCAATCGCGCAAATAGAGCAGCGTGGATGACTGCTACTCTTTTTGAAGAGTATGTTCAGCTATAGATAGCAAGATGGCTAAGAAAAACAAAAAAGTACTGTTCATTATCGACAACTGCCTAGGCAACGGCAGAATAGAGAATTTGCAGGCAGTGACAGTAGAGTTTCTGCCTGCAAATGTGACGTCTGTGCTGCCGTCGATGGACCAAGGCGTCATCGAAGTGACCCGAAAAATCTACCGAAAGAGCCTTCTCCACAGAATTTAGTTGTCTTATGAAAATGGTAAAACCTACAAAATTGGCCAGCTGGGAGCAGTACAACTTCTCAGCAGTGCTTGGCAGAAAGTTCACGCAGTGTTACGCTTCATTTTACGCGAACCCCTTTGGGCCCAAATGCAAGACCACGGACAGCGTGCGAACGCTCCCGGGCCTGTAAACGTATCGGGGGTAGAGGCGCAGAAGTGTATGCCCAGACGCCGAGGAACCTGAGACGCTGCTGCCGCGAAGGTCGTCATGTGCTGTGCGCGAGAACGCGGTGAGCTCGTGGCTCATTCGCACCTGGCTCTTGAGTGTGGGAACGCCGGTGGTGTGATCCGTGGCGCGATCAGTCGCGTGATCGGTGGCGTGACCAGTGGCGTGGTAGGTGGTGCGAACACAAGGTGTTCCATATTTGGTCATGTCTGGAGGCACCTGACGTCACACAAGCGTCTGGAACCCTTTAAAAACGCGCAGGGAGAGACTGGGTGAGCAGTCTGGATTGAGACTCTGCCGGAACTCTGCTCCTCGGCCTCTTACCTTTGTTTGTAAACTTGAATGTCCACTTTGGTCTAACTATGTAGTATTAAACTCTTTTGATTTGCTGTTCTGCGCCGTCTCCCCGGTACTTCCCTTCTCGTCGGTCCTGATGCAAGTTACGAGCACAACCTGCTGACGACGGCGGTCAAGAGACGCCCGTAACAACTGGTGGCAGCGGTGGAATGCTGCAGTCATTTCGACGACTCGAGGGCTGAGCTGCGACACGGATCCACGAGCCGTCTCGTCTGCCAGGCCGCAACCAGATGCAGTGTTTGCAAGGGTCTACGCGGAATTCTTGGCTGTTGAGTGGTGAGTGCGGGGCTTTGTCTGCTGAGTTTTGCCAGGCTTTTTCAGTGGGGAAGCGTAACTGGTAGTTCGAACTATTGTTGTCGCCAAAGTGGGCTGCGGCAAGATAGTTGTGTACAGTAGGAAAGGTTGCACTGAACACAGCCATGAATTTGAAGTTGCTGCGTAAAGCGGAGTTATTACAGCTTGCAAAGGAGTTGCATTTGGATGTTTCTGACGCACTCCGGAAACCAGAATTGATCGAGGCTATTAGTGCTCTGGAGGCTGAGGAAGATGAGCTGACGGAATGCCTTGAGATAATTCGAGAAAGGGAAGCCGCAAAAAGACAGGCAGAGGAGCGTAGAGAACAGCAAGAGAAAGAGCGTGAGGAAAGGGAGCTCGAATTAAAACGACTCGAGTTTCAACGTTCGAGAGAGCGCGAGGAACGCGATCACGCGCTCGAGTTAAAGCGACTCGAGGTTGAAATAGAGCGCGTGCGAACGGCAGGGCAGAGAAGCGAGGCAAACAGTGCAGGGGTGCACATATCGCTCAAAATGACAGAACTAATTCGCCCTTATAAACTCGGAGAGGACATTGGGTTGTTCTTGGTGAACTTTGAGCGGACGTGTGAGAAGCAGGGGTTCTCCCGTGAGTCGTGGCCACAGCGCTTGCTCACACTCTTACCTGGCGAGGCAGCAGAAGTAATCGCTCGTTTATCCACTGAGGAGGTCGACGATTACGATAAAGTAAAATCCAGTTTGCTTAGGAAGTACAGGCTGTCCGCAGAGGCATTCCGGCGGAAATTCCGTGAATTGGAGAAAGGAAGGAGTGAGTCATACACTGAATTTGCCTATAAACTGAAGTCAAACATGGTGGAATGGCTAAAGGAGGAGAAGGCCTTCGGTGACCACGCAAAGGTTATTGAGTGTTTTTTACTAGAGCAATTCTACAACCGGTCACCAGAGAACATTAGGCATTGGGTGCAAGACAGGCCAGATGTTAGCTCTGTAGCCAGAGCCGCAGAGCTAGCAGAGGAATTCATCACACGTCGGGCTCGCGAAGGCAGTGACAGTGGTTGGAAAGGGGGTCCCGATTTTGGGTTCAAGCCAAAGAGAGGGCCTGTGAAAACGAAGGAAGAGCCTGAAATTGGGAATGCCCGAACCGTAAATACGTCGGAGTCAGAACGGAACACCGAACCTGCGTTAGAACAGCAAAGGAAGCTAGAAGCGAGGAAACCGTTCCTTTGCTATAACTGCCATAAACCCGGTCACATTGCGGCGCACTGTAAGAAACCAAAAGTTGTGTTTCTATCCATCAGTGGTAGGGACGAGAATATCGAGCTTCTCGAACCTTACATGCGCGACCTTGAAGTGAACGGGAAGCCATGCCGCGTACTGCGCGATTCTGCGGCTACGATGGACGTAGTTCACAGCTCGTACGTTGAACCGCAAATGTTCACGGGTGAGTGTGCTTGGATCAAGCAGGCTGTAGAGTCGTGTAGTGCATGCCTT